ACCTAGTTATATGTGGTACTGGCAACTAAATCCAGAGCTTTGTGCATGCTAGGCAAGCGCTGTACTAATTGATTCACATCCTCAGCTCAGGCCCCTAGGACATTTCAGATGATTTTAAAAGACACGTGTTTGTTCTCCCAAGTGGACAAAGGAAGGTTGCCAGTATTGTTGAATGAGCTTCTCTCTGCTTTAAGATGATATTTCCCATTTGACGATGTCTTGTGTCAACTGTTAACAGCAGTGGTCTGAAGCACCACCTAAAGAAAGAGGAACGATCCAGGTGTTTTCTGTACTCCAGCAGCTTCCCCTGGGATTCCCGTGTTCTGAGGAGCAGCAGCCTCACTGGGGAGGTAGGTGTTTGTTGATGGTTGAAAAGCCACTAGGATCTGCACAATGTTGTTCTATAGGTACTGCCGGGGTTGTGGGCTTTTGTGGGCCCCTAGAGAATCTCAGGAATCATTTCGGCAGGATGGGAACTTTCTTGCCATTACTGAGGATTTGCTTGCCCTTGGGCTTCACACCTGGCAAGGGTGAGGTGTGGAAGCACATCTCGCGCTGTGCCATACCTAACCCCATCTGCGCAGCTCAGCTGCACAGTCAATGAGGGCTCCAGACTGCTCACACGAAACCTTTAACTTGAGCATTTGGCTGCTTCAAGGAATTTCTGCTGGAGGCTTTAAAACTGGTAATGTAGCCAGGTGTGGTGGGCACACCTTTAATCCCAGCACTTGGGAGGCAGAGGCAGGCAGATCTCTGTGAGTTTAGGGCAAGCCTGGTCTACATAATTCCAGGACAGCCAGAACTATGTAGATCCGTTTCAAAAACCAAAAAACTTGCTTATAAATCTGCATATACTGTTTAAATAGTGAAAATTTTGCTTTTAACTTTTACATTCATGTTTTTTTAACTCATAATCAACTTGTTCCCAGCCATCTTTCTGTAACGTTTCCTAAAAGCTTAACCTAAATGACTGGTAGGATGAAAAACTATGCAAATAAATATTAGGGAAAGTGGCTTTTGTTTTCTTTCAAGGTAGGATTAGGGTTTTGCCTAGAATTGGATGTTCAAGACTAGTTTTCCAAGCTCTTCTGGGTAGTAGCTATAGGAACTTTGGTCAGTTGGCCAGGCACTAGGATAATAGCAAAAGGCACAGGTTTTGTTGTTGTCACACAGCTGCAGCTAAATCCTTGCTTGGTTCCTGACTGAATTTAGGCAAGATGTTGATGCAGTGTGCATCCCCTGCATAAGTCCTCTGGTGGGGAATGAGGAGACTGTGAAACCTGGCAGCATGACAGGAGACCCGTGAGCAGGGCTGGGCGCCTGGGAGGAGTGCCTACTGAGTCACACCGAGGATGTCTGTGAGCCGGTTATTGGGTAGGGAAAGGTGAACTCTATTGGTAGGAAGATGTCTCCATACCAGATTCTGAAGGACCAGGACTGGTTGGCACTGCTGCTGGAAGTGGGACACAGTCAAAGCTCAGCTTTGGGTTTGTTCAGTGTTTATTAAGTAGATTCAGTCTGGTATATGATATACAGTTTCAAAAGGAAAAGGATTCCACATACTTAGGACATCAGTGCATTTAGCAGTAATACCATGGAGATAACCGCTCATTAACAGCTCATTGGTCTTCTGGTAACTGAGGGAAAGAGGGCGTCGGCCTGTGCTAGTCATTCCACAAACAAAACAGAATTTAGTAGCCGCATCACGTAGAGAAAGACACATCCTAAGAATGAAAGTATTAAGCCACATTTCCTGGGAAACTCTCTACAGAACACAAACACTTTATAGAGCAGTGAGGAGGAGGCCCTCACCTGCTTACAAGAGCCACAGGAAGTTGCATAGGTGCATATCTGTAAAAATATAATTTAGCGGTGAAACCATTGACTAATAAAGTCACCTTTAAAAGTTGGTGCCATCCACTGCTTGCGGTAAGTGCCTTATGCTTACTGTCTGGAGCCCCTGACCCTCCCCAGAGGTGGTGGGAACCTTGTACCATCTGCAGTCACAGTCTCATCTGACATGGAACTCACGCTCTTCCAAAATGCATCTTGTTATGCCAGCAGTTGATGACCTCTTGTGTTGTCCCTAAATCCTGCCTGGCTTGCTCCCCAAGGCCCATGAGTCCCCTTGACCTTCATCCTATTGCCTGCTGCCCAAAGAACTTCCTCCCAGAGCTGGGCAGTGAAGTCCTGCCTTACTGTCTCCTCTGTGTGCTATCCCCACCCAGCTGACAGGAGGCGCTATCTTGATTCCTAAGTGAACACATGATAGAGGCACAGGGCATCCACTAGGCAGAGTGTATTGGCAAATCTGAGTTCCAGGTGGTGTAGGTTTTTGTCTTTAGGTGGAAACGGGTATAGAGTGAGAGGTTTTGCTTTGTGGCTTTGCTAAGCAGATGAGCTAGTGAGGTGCATCTCCCTCCTCGAGCGCGTCTTGCAGAACACACAGGGATGGGGCGTCTGTACATGTAAACAGTACACTTCCACTGAGTCCAAAATTAGGAGCAAAATACAAAGGTTCACATTGGTCTTAGGTAGATACAGGCAAGAGAGGATTGAGCTGTTGAGCTCAGAAACAACAAAACAAAGTTTCTAAAGCACCACTAAATTATATAAAAATCAGACTACGGACGGATTGAAACTGGTTTTCTGGTGAAATACTTTACTATCTTGTAAAAAGTTTTACAAAAATTACAAATTAAAAGTATCAACCCTCTGAGTTCAAAGCAGCATTTTGAGAATGAACTGGTAGTTAATCCTATAACCACCCGTGGAGTCATATGTGGCCCTTGAGAATAGGGAGGGACAGATGGGTTCCATCTGTTCCAAGTCCTCTAAGACCCTCCTAGCCCTGCCTGACCCTCCCCAACACCATCCTTAGGAATAAACTGTCCCATTTGTTGAGTGGTGAGAGAAAATCCTTTCTATGGGTCATGTTCATTATCACTAGGTCATCCATCACTTCTCTTGAGAACCTGCAGGGTCTGCCCTGCAAGGTCTTGGGGATTGGTGTATTCTACACTGGCATTTCCACTGTAACTTGAGATCACCAATGAGTACTTTGTGCCCTAAGCCTTCCATCAGACTGAAGTGGCATGGCTGTAGGACAGGGCTTTAGGGAGCGCCCCCCTGGGAAAAGGCAGGCCCAAGTCAGGAGGGGAAGGCTTGAAGCTGCATCTTTTAAAACAAAAGCAAACCAGAACAAGTCCCCTGACTGAACTAGGTAATGGAATCCTGTGTCCACACTAACTTACTCCTGATATGGCTGTCTCTGACTGAGGCTTTGGGGACAGCTTCCCTGGGAGGAAGTCCAGGTCAGCATGACAGCATCCACTGCCCTGCAGTCCCTCTGGAAGCCATCAGCACTGGCATTGGTTCCGTTTCTCTTGAAAACACAGGGATCCTATGCTCACACCATACTCTGGGAGCAGGCTGCTGGTGGCTGGTCAAGACTCAGTGGCTGATCAACACTGCTTGCACTTAGGAAACACCACTTAGATGTTGATCATGCTCTTTCTTACAGATGTGTCCCGTGAGAGTGGAGGGAGGAGTCCCTGCCTAGTCTCTTCTCTCTGTCTTCCAAAAAATGCACACCATTTGTGTCTAGCTTGGGTACTGCCTCTGGGAGCAGAAATGACAATGGTAAGCAATTGATACCAGAAATTCTAGGAAGGCGATTGTCTCTGCCAATTTTTAACATTTTCACAAATTGCCGGGGGTAACATTTTGCAAAAGATCTGATTACTTTGTAGTATTCACACACAAAAATAAATATTTACACAAATTCAGACATCCAGGAGTCCTACTGAGCAGGTGGGGAACTGGGCACATGGTCGGCCAGCTGTGGGGAGGCCCTGGGCACTGGCTTGTGCTGTACGAAGGGGGCTCAGGTGTCCTGGCCCGTCCAGAGGCCTGGTGAGCGGGCACATGAAGGCAGAGGTGGTGTGGCTGGGTAGGCATTGGAGGCCACATTTAACCCCAGGGTGGAATTTGCACTGGCACTGCCTATCCACCTGTTCGAGGGGTGGTCTGTCAGGCTGCCACAAGCAGTTCCTGCCATAAACCAGTTTGGGAAGGGGTACCTGCTCTGGGATCAAGAGTGGCTCTGTGGTTATTTATCCTAGTGTCCACTCGGCCCTGGCTCCCCTGAGGCCTCCTTGCTCTGAGGGAGGAAAGGCAACAGGGCTTCTGCCAGCTCTGGGCAGGGGCAGGCAGCAGAGTGCTGCTGTCATGGCTACGGAGTGTTGAGGGAGAGGCCCCCTGGCCTGCTGAGGTCTGGGTGTATCCCTGGTTTTAGCAGCACTGGTAGGTATTGCACACAGCAAGAGGAAGTGCCTATCAGGAAGGAAGGATACCAGGTCAGCTTTTTCTTGTCCCTTGTCACACTCCAGGGACTGGCTTTGTTATAGGACAGGCCTTTCCAGAAGAAAGTCTAGTCCTAGGAGAACGCAAGTAGCTTCCCCACTTCCACCAACGATCTGGTCCCTTTACTCCCATCATGAGGCGAGGGGCGGAAGCCTTAGTCCACCCTGGGGCACACAGATGCCTGACAAAGGGAGCTGGCCCTGAAGAGGTGGCCCTTCTAGCAGGTTATCTGGGGCTGGGGCCTGTTAAGCATCGACAAGAGCCAGGCAATGGCAAGCTGCTGGTTTTAAGGGCCAAGCCCCTCTGGGCTCTGGCTCTTAGACACTAGGTCTGATTTACCTCCCAGCAGATAGATACATTGTGTGGGAGTCAGGGAGGCAGCCTTTCAGAACCGGCTTGGAGCACATCCTGGAAAAGCCCACGCTGGAGTGTGAGGTAGAATACAGGTGACCGTGTGACTGGAACTCCGGAGGGTGGGGGGGGGGGGTGGGTGGGGGGGGGGGGGCGGGGGGGGGGGGGGGGGGGGGGGGTTGGTGGTACTTCTGTTTGTAGTGGGTGTGGGTGAGGTCCTCCTGTTTGGCAGTGCCTGGCAGTGTCCCTGTGGCAGCACTGGGATCTGCAACAAGACAGCCTAGTGGAGTGTGGTGGCCTTCCCAAGGGTGTGCTGGGCACTCACACAGCGAGCTGGTGCCTAACTCTGCTGGCCCCCCAGCCCACATCAGTGTGGTGATATGGAATGTTAGGTACAGGGTACATCCTTCTGATCAGACAGACACAGACTGGCAATCTGTACAAACACAAAAGAATCCATTTCAGAAAAATAAATTACTAAGGGGAGAGGAAGAAAGGGTCCACGTTTGCTCTTCTCAATAAATATGCAATTCTGCTCACCTAAGACTTCAAAGGTAATTATCAGGATGGGGTTCTAACATCAGGCAGGGTCCATGAAGGTGATTCTAATAGAGCTGCATCCCCTGTGCCTTGTCAGGGGAGCCCCAACTCTTTCAGAGCTGCCCCACTGGCCTCTTTCCAAGCAGGTCAGAGCACCTGTGTGGTGAAATTCCAAAGAAACAAAAAAAAAGTGTCCTTGTGCCCAAAGTCTCAGATGCTCGGAGTGTGGCTAGAAACAGCTCTTTTGGATCCCACCTCTTTCAGAAAACAATGTACCAACTGGTGAGGCAGGAAGCTGGGTCCAGGCTGGGACAGCCTCCTTCCCTGGTGTCGTGCACTCTGGGGGCCAGCGGGGTCAGTTCTGCTGTAAAATGAGGTTTTCCAGTTCATCCGCAGAACGCAGCAGGAAGGCTGCAGACTCTCGGTAGCCAGCAATAAGCTGCCGCACAGCGCTGATCTCCGTGGGGCTGAGCTGGGCCGTGGGCATGGTCCTGCTGGTGCTGTTACTAGAAGGAGTAGGTGTGGGAGGGGTGGGGGTAGAGGCCCCACCTTTCATGCTGAGGTCTGTGGGCCCTGTGGAAAGGGAAAGATGATTTTAGACTCTCTACGTTTTAGAGGAAGTGGGAAGCATGTATCTGGGAAGGACATCCAGCCTTGGGTTCGTTCTGTGACTGGGCATAGTGTTGGAGGCACGGATCTATTTTCCTGATTGCTGTAGTCCTAGTATCTAGAAGGCTTTTACATGACAAGGGTTCCAGGTTGAACCTCATTGTCAACCATGTGACAGGCAAAAGGGAGGTGGGAAGTTTTGCCCAAGTTCCCATGGCAAATATCTTAGGGGTAGGGTGGCATACGTGCAAGCACATGCTTGCTTGCATAAGGCACAGCAGACTCCAGCCTCGCTTCAGCCTCTACCCATGCCTTTCACTACTTTCCGAGGGCCGCCCACCACACCCACATCCCAGCTCTGGTCCCCAGAAAAGGAAGCAGCAGCCTTGAGATGCATCTAATGCCGTGAGCCCCTGAGCCCCGCCTCTCCTCAGGAATCCAGGCACTGTGAGAAAGAGCTGTTGCAATGTTTGGGGGAGTAACGTAACATGCACGTGTCATTTCTCCAGAAGAAAGCGGGGGTGGGGTGGGGTGGGGTGGGTGTATAACCCACAGTACCATATGCAGTGAGGCCATGGAACAGCCACCTTTCCAGTTCAAAGAAGCAGTGAGAACCACCGTACCCCTAGAGGGATGGAGGAGGGGCAAGGTCTGCTGAGCCTCAGCCCCTCAGCCTCTCTCCCAAGTGAGGAAGCTGATGCTCCTGGAGCAGAAGGGATAGATAGTAACCACAGTACCCAAGGTTTTCTGGAGAAATTGTCTGCTGTCTGCCCTCTGCTGGCCGGCTGTGGCAGCAAAGGAGCCTAAGCTCCTGCAACCCCTGGGGACAAGGGGCCCACAAGCTAGAGACTTCTCAGTAGGCCAGGGACTTGGAATAGACTCCCAGTAGACGTGTAAGGGTTTGGAGCTTGAAAGGCCTTGTAGGTGTTTATCAAGTAAACAAGCAATGAAGAAAGCTAGGGAATGAGAGACCATGCATTTGCTCTTATGGGCCATTGGCATGTCTCTACTTCCTCTGGGTTTTGATGGCCAGGCATTTTCACTGTAGAGATGGACAAACCTTGTCTCGGAGACATCTAGACTAGAAGGAACATCTAGGGATAAATTTTTTAGGAACAACTGCTACTAAAAGGGAGTTGGCGCAGTCCTGATGGGGGGGGGAGCTGACGTCTGTGATTTGAACTGTTTGTAAACACAGCTATTGTTCCCCGCTAACCAGAGAATATGGATGATTTGCTTAAAAATTTTCCTTGCTGCTGGGGATGTGGCTCAGTGGTGAAGTACCTACTCTGGGTTCAGTTTCTAGCACCACAAATATAAATAAATAGCTGGGCGTGGTGGTGTAGGCCTTTAATCCCAGCACTCGGGAGGCAGAGGCAGGCAGATCTCTGTGAGTTCTAGGCCAGCCTGGTCCACAGATTGAGTTCCAGGACAGCCAGGGCTACACAGAGAAACCCTGTCTTGAAAAAAACAAAAAACAAAATAAATGAGTTAATTAAAAAATACACAAATGAATAAATAACAGTGCTCTTGGAATTGAGAAGGCAGAACAGTTAAGTCTGTTATAATCAAACATGGGAAGGAGGAGAAAGGCTGTGTATACAAACAGAACCAAGCAGGTGACTGGCTTCCTCTGCTAGCTTCTGGATATCCCAAGCACAGGACCCAGGGGGATGGGACAGGTTTGGCTTCCTCTGTCTCTGATCTAGGCAATGCCCAGGTTTCTTCCCCCACCCGACCCCCCCATCCCCAAATCTCAGCTCACTGTTCATGGCTGCTTAGGCTACAGGAGACAGGGACGGGAGGGGTGGGAGAGTTCTTCATCTGATCTGGGCCAACCCTATGCAGGCTCTGGTTACAGCCAGACTCGGGTTGCAGTGGCCCCTATGGAGCTAGTGTGGGCAAAAGCTGCCTAGCACCCCAGGCCAGAGGAGCAGGGTCTGATTCTATCTAAGCTCATTTCTATCTCCAAGTGACAACGTGAGCAAAGTGGGGAGGATGAGCCATTGGCATAGCTGTTGTGGGGTCCAAGCTAAATCGAACAATCACATGAAGGGCTGTGACTGGGCAGGACCGTGGGAGGGATGGCTCTGTGACCCAGCAGCTACTGCTGCTTTTCCTCCAGCTGCTGGAGCCACTAGTGCTCACAGGACAAAGCTGTTCCCAGCAAGGAAAAAAAATGGCCAGATCTTGGTCCTGCCCACCTCTAAGGAGCCGGCATTTTCAGAGATGGGATACATGGGAGAGGCAGCTGCTCCCTGACCTCAGTTCTGGCTGCTATTCATGTCTTCCGGGACCCATACCCTCATGAGAGGCCGAGGAGCCACCACAGCTGCAGTCCTAAGACAGGCCATGCTGTGTACCAGGTGAAGACTTACCATGTGCTGCCTGGGCATCAGGCCATCCCGGTTTCAGTCACTTGCTACTAGTGTCCCCAAGAGTTCTAACCTCCCTGATCCTGAAACCCACTTCAGATACTCCAGCAAAAGGGCTAGAAGGGGCTGGAGAGGTTAAGAGCACTGATCTGCTCTTCCAGAGGTCCTGAGTTCAATTCCCAGCAACCACATGGTGGCTCACAACCATCCCTTATGAGATCTGGTGCCCTCTTCTGGTGTGCAGAAGTAAATAAAATCTTAAAAAAAAATTCAACTGTCTTTAAAAAAAATAAAAAGCCAATGCTGCCCCCCCCCACACACACACCCAGGCAAAAAAAAAAAGGGGGGGGGGCAAGAAGGAGAGTGGCTCCAGGGCAGCTATTCTACCCTTGGTGTGGGCTACTCTCTGGCCTGGCACTAGGGATTAGACCAGACAGCCTCTTATTTTTAGGTTAAGATGCATAAGAAGGGATGAGAGGCTAAGCCCAGGCAGGGACCTTCCTGACATTAGCACTTCCTTCCAGTTCTGGAGCAGAGGAAGCATGAAGGTGTGGAGCAAGGGGAGGGTGGAGATGGCTTGAGTTTTCTACTAGGGCTAGAAACTGGCCCTCCCCCCTGCTCTCAGGGACAGTCTGGGGTCTCCTAGCCCCAGGGCTCCCCCGCCAGAAAGTGCCTTTTCTTCCACCTGCCCTCTTTAGCGGCAACACTCCGCCTTCACTTCCTTCACCCTTTGGCCCCTGAATAACATGGAGGCACACTGCCTCTGCCTCCTGCCCTGTCCCTGGAAACATTCTCATCATGGGGCTAGACAGACTAGGATGACAGACTAGAGGCCACGGCCCACCAAAGCCCAGCATCCCCTTGGCCATGCCACCCCTGCTGGAGAAGGGCTTGATAGCTGTTCTGCTTCCATGTAATACAATACCCAATGCCACAGGAGGTGCAGAAGGTATCTGTCTGTATCCCCACCCCCACGTGTAGCACCTGCCACGAGGTTCCTGGGAAGCACTTGCCAAGATGCCCAGTTTAGGCATGGAGCAGAGAAACTCAATGTGTACCCATCACCCAAATGACTTGAATGGCTCTCCTGCCAACTCATAGGGGCCTTTCAGAGAATGGAACCAGAGAGGGCGCTTGCAGTGACTGGTAGAAGCAAGTGCCATTGGAAATGAGACGGGAGCCAAGGTTTCCTGACCTCGTCTAAAGACTGGCTGCTAACAGGGGAGCTGAGCCATCGCCCCACTCCTCCCAAGGACTACTGTGCAGACCAAGCGAGGCACTATCCGGAGAACAGGCCTGACGCCACTTACCGTTACTGTGATTTCCTGTCTGGAGGGAAGCCGAGGGCTGCAGGTTGCTGCTCAAGGACCCATAGCCACGGTAGCTGTAGTTGAGGCCACCATTGACGTACACAGGATCCTGGGAGTAGGCAGAGGCTGGCAGTGAGTAGGTGGAATGGGTGATGGCGGTGGAGTCCCGAGAGTGCTGCTTATCCAGGGCTATAGGTTCGTCCTGCAAAGGAGGGGGGGGCAGAGCTGGGAACCCAAGGACCAGCATGCCCGCCCGGTCACTGTCCCTGAACGGGCGGGGGGGGGCGGCGTGGGAGGCGTGGGGTGGAGACAGAGGCCACAGTCTTTTGGTCCCTGGGACCCAGTGATGTGACTTGACCTAGTGGATGCTGTTGGTTCTCTCTCCTTGGGCACCTTACCCCAGCAATCTCTGCTGACTGCATCTCGTCTCTCTGTGGACATGCCCAACTGTCATTGCCTAGTGTGCCTGCCTAGACCCTGTGACCTCCTGTTTCAGTCTTTTGAGTGCTGGGGCTGCAGGGATGTATGTACTTCCACATCCAGTCAGCCCTCCTTTTGACAGGCCAGCCAGCCCTCAGTGACTGACTCCTCCATCATTCTCCACCCATCTCTTCGCACCTGCCTTCTCTCCGTTGTTCCGTCCTTTTTGTCCCCACCTCAGACTATGTGAGGACTGCCCTCCTGCCTCACTGTCTGTGGAATGGCCAGCGGCCTCTGCCCCCCGGGTGAGACCCCTTGGGGCAGGCAGCATGCACACATACTTGTGAGGACTGGTAGATCTCCAGACGCATCCTTTTAGCTGCTTTTCTTGTCTCACTCTCACAGGCAGCTGCTAGGATGTTTTCTGCCATGGCTGAGGTCAGGTGGGGAGGAGTGGGTCTGGTCTGCAGGCAGAAGGGACACAGAGCTGGTGTTTGGGCTGGAAGGGCCCTGGCCAGGGTCAGGGTATGGCAAAGCAGGTGTTTGGGCTCCAGCACCTGATTAACAGCCTGCTTTCCTCACTTGTGAAACAGGCCTACTGACAAGTTGGGGAAAGGGGTCTGGAAGACTGTGATGGTGCCACAAGCCAGGGTCGCCAGGAGGAGGCGCTCACCATCTCCATGCCATTCTTCTTCATGCGACGACAGGACTTGAGGTATGTGCGGATGCGCTTGCGGGCCCGCTCCTGGAACTCCGGGAACTGCCGGCTGCACGACTCAATGATGGCCTGGATCTTCTCCTTGGGCTGCTTGGAGATGGGCACCATGCGGTCCAGGTTCTCATCCACAAACAGCCGCACAAACATCTAGGGAGACACAGGCCGTGGGAGGGGCTGGCCTTGCCTTAGACCGTCCCCGTCTGACCAGCCCCTGCCTGGTACTCACGTTGAAGGCCTTGAGCCGTTCAGGGTCCATGCCCTCTGAGTCATTCATCTTGTCATTGTCCTCATGGTCATCATGATCATCATCGTCGTCATCTGCTGTGGGGGCTCGGCCAACTGTCAGGTCCTCAGGACAGCCACTGACTTCAGTCTTGATGGAATCATAGCTCCCAGAGCTGTAGGGGGGAGACTAAAACAGGGCAAGAGACAGAGAGACAAATCAGGTGGCTGTCTACTTGGTCTCCCATGGTTAAGTTTGGGGACCAGGTTGGTAAGCTCATCCAGCTGCTACAAGTCTTAGCTGCAAGCTAAGCAAATTAACCCTACCTCCCACTGTGAACCAAGAGAAAGTTCTGCCCCCAGTGTCCCTGGGCTACTGCCAGGAGGCCTGGCTGGAACAGCACACAAGGGCCTTCCCTCTTGGAGGCGATGGGTAGAGTATAGTACCAGCTTCTTTGGTGGCAGTGTCCGAGCAGGACCTGCCATGCTAAGGAAAGGACACAAGAAAAGATTGCCATCAGCCAGCCTCTTCTGTGTGCCAGGATCTATTTGGGCTTTCAGGGTTCCTCCTGGATCCCCAAGGGACTGCAACCTTGAGTTGACGAGTGAGCTGTCACCAGAGCAGCAAATTTGCTGTCTATCGGGAGGAACAGATGGGCTGGGAAAGAGAGCCAGCCAAGGAAGTAGGGCCACGAAGCAGGGAGCAGTCTCCAGCTCCCAGGCTAGGCTGTTTCTGCCTATCTCCTAAGAGATTACTACGAGGCTGGGGAAAGCAGGTATTCAAGAGAGACCAGAAGGGCCTGCCTGGTATAGCCTGACCTTGAATGGGGAAGGCTTAAGCACTCTGTTCCTACCCACATTCTTCTTTCAACCAGACAACAGGCAAAGATGGTAGTGTCCATTCCAGGACTGGTCACGTCATGGGAGGGCACAAAAAAAAAATAAAATAAAATAAAAAATGACTCCCGTGAGCCAGCCCCTTGTGTGTGTGAGGATTTATCGGGGCTTCTGGGTTCCCTAAGCCTGCACTGACTGCCTGCTTCTCCAGCTTCCCTGCTACTGTCTGCCCCTCATGACCCAGCTCCACAGCATTTCACAGAGCCCTTGCTCTGAGGCTGCTGCCGTTTGCTTTCTGAAGTTATATCTGTAGCACAAACTGACCTCGTCATCTTTTCCCTGAAGGACACTGGCATGTAGTGGGTAAGTTGGGCCCAGGAGGGCACAGAGTTGCAGTTAGGCACTATGATGTGGCCACAGCCTGGCCTAGAAGGACCTGGTGCTCTCTGAGGAACAACTCAACAAAGACAGGTGGCCTGGTACCTCTGGCTCTCAGGCCCCTCTCACTATGAGCACACAAAGACTTCAGGGGCAGAACTCCAGCCCTCCAGAACAATAGCATGGGGTCAAAACACATGCAGGGCACAGGGCTGGCTACCATCTCTGGTGCCATGGACATGTCAGATCTGCAAGTGATTCTTTAGCTGAATCCTCTGGCAGTGCCAGAGCAAATGAGAAAACTGTAAGGTGCCCTCAGTGCCCACCCTTGTGCCATATGGCCATGGTAACAGTGGTTAAATGGCTCTGCTAAGCCAAACTTGCTTCTACCATGGAACAGCTGCTCTCTCTGGTCCCTGGACTTTCTTCCGTTCTGATCCCCATGGGCTGTGCTACACATGTGAATCTGTTGGAGTAGGCAGGTGGGTTCAGGGTGGCAGAATCGGAGAGGTACTCCTGGAGAGCTGGCACCTACTGTCACAAAACCTTAATGGCTGGATTATGGGCCATGGTTGGGAACCCACCCTGCCCATCTCTCTACCCACATCAGCCTGGTCAAGGGAGGAGTTCCAGAGCCCTCACCCTGACAACTCGTCCCTTTTCAGCAGCATCTGAACAACGGGACAGGCAGGCTCAGTAGCCAGGACGTATGAGGTCTGTGCCACCTTTTCAGAAGGGGCGTGCGTGCGTGCGTGTGCGCGCGCGCACACACAATGGGGAGGAGTACAAAAGCCATGGTGTGCGTGAAAGTCAAAGGACAGCTGGAGTCTGTTCCCTCCTCCCACCTTCATGCAGGCTCAGAGGATCAAACTCAGGCCACTTTTAACAACCGAACCTTTCCTAAGTTTTTGTTTTCCTTTGGGGTCTCACATGTAACTCAGACTGTTCTGGAACTCACTTTGTAGCCTAGGTTGGCTTCAGACTGCAGTGCCCCTCCTGCTTCAGGCAGACTCTGAGTGCTGGGGTTACAGGCATGACTGCCATGCTCTGCAATGTCTTGTACATCGGTGCCAAATGTGCACTTGCTCCTATTCTTTACAGACTCTGTTCCCAGGAAGGGAATGAGCCTTGGGGACACACATCACCTGCCATCTCTCCACCAAGGCAGGAGCCATCACTTCTCAGAGAAACCAATTTGGGGCACCCTCAGCCATTTGTCGTTCTAGTGTGTCAAGAGGAAACCATGGCAAAGTGGCCACAGCCACTACCCTGGCTTGACGTCACATATGAGCTGGCTACAGTACACTACAGTACGTATGACCCACTCCAGCCTCCCAACAACCCAGAGGCACCCAGCCTGCAGCCCCACACACCTCAGGAGTGCTCTTTACCCCATACTTGACGCGGCTCCGAAGCCCGTCAGTGCCGCAGCCGTCTGAGGGGTAGGACGGTGTACCCAGCGCTGTGCCTGGTGGGAGCTTATCACACAGGTTGATGGGCTGATCCTCAGCGGTGGCGGTGAAGTCCATGGGGGCTGCAGCACCGTTGCCATTCATCTCGGGGAAGGCAGGGTCACCCTGTGTGCTGCTCGAAGTGGATGGGTTCAGGGTAGAAGAGCCATTGCCACTGCCGCTCTCAGAGGAGGAGTCGTCTGGAATGACAGCCCTGGGCATGAGGCTGTGTCCCTGCACCCACTGTCCCCAGAGGCCCCGCTGGGTGTGGTGGCCTCTGAGTCCCTGTGCTGTTGTCCTTGCAGGGCACTTGTGCCCTGCTCTCCACCCCAGATGCACTGGGACCTGAACTGAGCCTCAGGCAAGATGAGGAACGTGGGGCCACTAGGAGCTAAGTGGTTGTGACCAGCATATGCAGAGCATAGGTTTCTCTTCACCTCCAAACCTACAAATGCCAGAGAGAAGCTCAAGGGAGGCTCCACTTCAGGTCCTTAGACACAGCCAGGGTTGCAGGACTGGCCTTTCTTGGTGCTCAGAACTGCTCCCCCTCACACCTTCATGTCCCTCAGGGTGGGGTGGGGTGGGGTGGGGGGCTTGAATTTCTCCTTTCTGCAGCTCCACTGCCTAAGTCCCTATTCATTCATGCCTTCCTGTATAATCTAGCCAGATTTGCAGCCTCTGCCCTCTGTGCCCGGCTAAGGGACCTCAGACAGCACAAAGCCAACTGCTGAGTCTGAGGGCCATATCTCCTCTGTTTTCAGCAGATCTTCCTGCTTTCTTGAGGTGGGAGCCCCCTGCTGTAGAGAGTGCAGCATTGCAGGATCCAGAGGATAGATAAGCTTAAGCTCCAAGGGAATAGACATTTTTAGATAAATTCCAGGTTTCTCTTCCCACAGGCCCCAGCCTCCTGCTTCATTAGCTGGGACCACAGTGGCTGCTCTCAACCTCCTGGAGTCACTGTCAGGTGAGCACCCATGTGGATGTCAATGGTGCTTGGGTACCCTGGAGGCTCTGCCGCTAAACCCAGCGGGGGGAGGGGGGGTAGCAAAGGGAGCCCTGACCATAACCCGGATCACCCTCTTCCCCTGGCCAGGGTGGAGATGGACCCCACCCCCACCCCTACAGCCCACAGATTATGAAGATTTAGTCCTTAGTGTTGAGCACTGAGCATGAGCGCCGCCTGAGTGTCCCCATGGCTACTGAGCAGCTCTAGTGCCCCAGCCAATCACTAGCCTCTCAGCTGCCTTAGGGCGGGGCCAGTCTGCCCATCGAGCAGTCAGGGCCCTGAGTATGGGGGGGATGGGGAGAGTGTGGTGCAGTAACACTCCTCCCCGCACTGCTCCATCCTCCCTTTACCCTGTGGGCTTGATCCCAAGCCCCTGGGCCTATCTCTGGGACCTCACTGCCCAAGTCCTCTGTCCTCACAAATGGGCTGGGCGTGTCTCATCTCAGCATCTTTTCTCTGGCAGTATTTCCAGCAACTAGTCTAGAAAGGATGCAGAGAAAAACAAATTACCTGGCATCAGTAACTAAGCACCTACTGTGTGGTGGCCCTATCCCAAATGCAGGGACAGTGACGACTACTACCAGGGTGCTAGCATACCTGAGGACCAGCTACATCTTAAGGGAGTTTACCAGTAACTGGGGAATTGAGTTGTGGTGGGTGCCATCCACTCAGCACCTGTCAAAACAAAACCGGCCCCTGTACCACATCTGCTGTCCAAAGCCCCGTTTCTCAGCTCAGGCCTTCCCTCTGTCATTGTCAGCCCCTTCCTGGAGGTCACTGCCCATGCTCCAGCCTCATGACCTTGCAGCCTACCCTGCCAGCTTCTACCCTAACCCCTTAGCACTCAGGTCTCCAGGCTTGGGTTAGGGCTTTGTGTGTCCTGCTCCTTCCAGTTGGGCCCATGTCAGCAGGCTTTCACGGCCTGACTCTGCTCTACTACCTCTGGGCACCTGGGAAAGAGGTACTTTCATAGTCCTAAGTGCCACCCACACAACCATGGTAGAACCTGACACTTGAGAGGCTCAGGCATCTCAGGTCTGGGGAACAAAGCTGGATATCTACCCTGACGCCCCTGTCTATTCTTAGCCACTTCCAAGTTATAACTCCTACCCTACCACAGGCCACTTGCTCAACCTAGAAGGGCACTAGATCCCTCCTCTGGAGGGATAAGCTGCTCCTCATCAGGTACCGTGCCAACAGTCACTGCATTCACCACAGACACCAGGCTTAAGGCCAGCTATATTGCCACACCCTGCATGGGGACAGAGGTGGACTCCGTTGTCTGCCTGCTTTGAGCAAGCAGTATGTCTGTGCCTCTGGAGTTGCTCAGGACACACAGGGCAATCCTAGGGCTCTGACCCAGGGTCAAAATCAGCTGTATTGAGAAGCTGCCAACACTCACCGGGGCTGCAGGCCCAGGCTCATGCTGCCTGACTTTCTAAAGAGAACAGGCGCTGGCCCCAATGGGGGTACCCATCTCTCTGTTTTCAGAGGCCATGCTCAGATGGCAAGGAATGTGGTTGGATAGATGAGGCCCACAAGACCCCAGAGCCTGGGCTCTGCTGTGGCCATGGCCTGCAAACCTATAGAAGAAACTGGAAATTCATTCACACTATTATGTACATATCCAGATTGACCAGTATACACTATTAGCACCTTGAAAAGCCACTAGAAGTGAACAGGCAAAGTGTGACCTAGCCACACAATGGAAGGCTCAGCCTTAAAAAGAACACGGCTTAGATATATGCTGCAACATGGAGGACCCGTGAGGACATTATGCTATGTGAAATAAGACAGACACGAAAGGATCAATAGTGAATGATTCCACTTAACTGCACAGGCTAGAATGGAGGCATTCACTGAGGCAGAAAGTGAAGTGGGGCTCCCCCAAGCCTGAGGAGGGGGAAAAGGGCTAATACTTAGTGAACGCAGAGCTTCTGTGTGGCACGATGAAAAGTTTGGGAAATAATAGTGCTGATTGTATTTTGACGTTTTGAAGTATACAGCCCAGAGATTTTATATTTACTTCACCACCAGAAAAAAAAAAAAAACCCACAAAACAACCCAAAGACAACAACCAAAAAACCCTCTAGACAAAAACCCTAAACCTTTGAACAAGCCAGTGGGCCCTTACCCATGCTACACCTGGACAGGACACAGAGCCCACATCTTTAATTCTCCAGCCCAGAAATTTTAAATTTACTTCCCCCCCAAAAAAAAAAAAAAAAACCCACAAAACAACCCAAAGACAACAACCAAAAAACCCTCTAGACAAAAACCCTAAACCTTTGAACAAGCCAGTGGGCCCTTACCCATGCTACACCTGGACAGGACACAGAGCCCACATCTGAGGGGGAAAACAATTACAAAATCCCACATTCTACAATCCCTGAAAGTCTTGCCCAGTGTAGGGAGTCCTACCTGGTGGGCTGGCTCTTTTTTCTACACAGCCTGGTTCAGTGCTACCTAACAGGAGGCACATGTTTTCCAACTGGGGTGGCTGGTGAGTGTTACCATAATACAAACGAGCTAAGAAGGGGGGGGGGGGACATCAGCTGTGTGACCGACCTCAAAGAGGCCGACTCTCCTTGTACCTCAGTTTCTCTTTCAAATGGCCCGTGCATCAGTAAAATGGCATTTATGATGTTATCAACTCTCCCTTGCAAGGAGCAGGCCCTCAAAAGTGAAAGCTGCCGCCTTTTACCCAAAACCTTCTTAATCCATTCTCGCCTGCTTCCCATGCTTCCTGTGCCCAGACTGCAACATGGGCACAGTGTCATATCAGAGGTGGGTACTACAAGCATAAGGGGAGGTGTACGCCTACCTAGGGGCTGGGAATCAAGAGCCAGCAAAGTGTCTCTGCTCCATACCCTACACTGCCCTTGCTTCCAAGCTCCCTTGAGCATCACCTCCTGGGGGGAGCCTCTGAGCCATCCCATCTCAACCTGGCACAAGCTCTGACTGTTCTTCTGCAGAATTCATTTCAAGGAAGGTGCCCACCCTACAGCTGCACTGTCCATCGGCCCCACCAGTGGCCTTGGCCCCCACCAGTGGCCTTGGCCCCTTTCTCCTATTGGGCCACAGAGCCTTCTGCCATGTCCTCCCCTCCACTTACATCTCAACCTGCCACCTAGCTGTGGCCTAGGCCTTTGTACTTCTGTTCCCTCTCACTACTATACTGTCCCTGGCTCTCCAGAGCTTGTTCTTCACTTCCTGTTCCTTCATTTCTGAGGCTTTGCTTAAAGGTCACTGTGTCAGGAAACCTCCCCTTCTCAACCCCCACACTGACATGCTAACCTCTTTACCTATTTTTCCACCCCACTTAACCTCCTCCTTGCCATACTATCATTTATTGTGTCTGTAGCTTGCAGTAAGTTGCCCCTGGGCCTTGGCAGAACTCTAGCTAGTAGGTAGGCCTGGATCACTCCATGTAAGCCACACCCCTTCTTTGGCAAGGACACTTGGGTCTTCTAGGGTTCCTCAGGGTAAGCATGTACCCCAGGCCTAGCCAGTCAACATGACCCATCACAACCACTGGTAAAAAGTCATATGACCAAGCTGGACCCACCAAAGTCAGACCTGAGCTTTTTCTACCTGTTAGGCAGGGCCCACCCTGGGGAAGATCAGAGATAGGCTAACACAACCTTTCCAAAATCTGCCTATGCCTTACACCAAAGGCAACCCTGGATTATTTGGTTATGAAAGTAACAACTTCCTTATTGTCAAGGCTAGCTGGAGGCCACTTTGCATCACATGGTCTGCTTTGGTCTCTGAGTAACAGGGGGTTAGGGGCTGGACTTTCTGCTTCCTACCTATCCTCAGGCTGCTGATGCTGACCCAGGAATGCCACAACCTCACCCCCCAGACCACAGGGTTCAGGGAAAGGGGTCACGGATCCAGTAGCTGGGGTCTGATCCATGGCAAATTCTTCCTCGCTCTCCAAGAAATATGACTTAATGTTTGGCCTATGGTGGGCTGGGCCAGTGGTTTCGGCTGGCCTCACTTTCAGCCTGACCTTGGGCACAGCCACCTCCTGGGCTCCTCTTATCTGCAACCCAGGGAGTTGCCGCTGACGCCCTCCTGGGCTCCAGTATTTTATGACTCCGTGAAAAACCCAGCTGGCCCCACAGCACTAAGGGCCTAGTGCCCTGGCCCTTTTGACACTAGGCCTCTCCTGTGAGGTAGTCTTTAGGA